TAAAATTGAAAGGTCAGGGAAGGCTTCTCTCAGGAAGTGGCACCTGAGCTGAGATCTGAAAGAGGGTAGAGGTGTAGAGGGGAAGGGAGGGAAGAGTATTCTGTGCAGAGGGAAGAGCACGTGCAAAGGCCCTGAGGTGGGAAGGACTGTGGAGAGGAAGAGAGGCTGAAGGATCATCTTAGAGGCTGGAGCATAGAAACTGTGAGAGAGCCTGGTTTAAGATGTGGGCATGCCATGCAGGACGCTTATAGGTCAGGCTAAGGGTTTTCATTTTCTTAAGAGCAATGGGAGGGGCTGGCCAATTATCTCAGTTGGTTAGAGCATGGCGTTGATAACACCAAGGTCCAGAGTTCAGTTCCCTGCACTGGCCAGTCACACCCCTTCTCATTTTAGGACCCTGCAATGAGTTTCACGTGGGCTTCCTGACAGACACATACAACTCTTGAAGCCAGCCTCCCATTTGCAGGGAAAGGTGAGCCAGTGATGGGAAGACCCAAAAAGCATCAGACCTCATCTCTGCTGCTCAGGATAAGGATGAAACCCTTGAAGTAGGGCAGAATTTGAACCCTTCTTTTGGGATCCCCCCAAATCCAAAGGAAGTCTCCGAACTCCAAATCTTCACCTGGAGAGCTAGGTTGCACTTGTCCTTCTTGGAAGGCTGAGGTGGTCAAGTCTGAAACTGTTGAGGCTGTGACCTTATCTCTACGAGAGTCATGGCCCCAAGGTTGTATAACCAAGAGAGGGAGGCTAAATCTACGTAAAGCCATTCACACCAGCAATCTTCCATGGACCAAGACAAGATCCAGGATAAGTCACGAGCAGATGAGGATTGATGATGGCATTCATGTTTCGGTGCAGTGTAGCCTATCGTGCCTAAATGCCTGACCCTGGAGGCCCACCAGCTCCCATCTGTGACTTTGTGCAAGTAACTTAATCTCACCAAGCCTCATTTTCCTCATCTGTAAAAAGAGGAATCCTTGTACCCATTTCATAGTATTATTGTGAAGATTAAGTGATATAATCCATGTAAAGCCCTCAGCAGTGTTGGGCACACAGTAAGCAGTCACTGTTAGCTCCTATTACTGTCAAGGGCCACTGGGGTGCCAGGTCAGGTGCAAAGCACTCTATGTGCATTATTTCATTTAGTCCTTAACCCCACATTGTGAGGCTAGCTTCCTTTTCCTTCCTTCTTACAGATGAGAAACAGTCAGAGATGTCAGAGGGTGGCTTAACTGGGTGCTCATCAGTGTCATCAACTTGACAGCTACAGGGTGGAGAGTCCACCATCCTCGGATTCTACAGGATGTAATAATAAGGGGGGTGGACAGCCCAAATCTCACAGACCTGCTTGCCGTTTAAGGCTGCTCAAGTTTGTCATGGTGCCNCCTTAACCCCACATTGTGAGGCTAGCTTCCTTTTCCTTCCTTCTTACAGATGAGAAACAGTGTGGAGAGGTTAAATAATGTGTCCAAGGTCACCCAGCTGATCAATGATAGCTCCAGGATTCTAATTTAGGTCTGATACCCAAACAGCTGCTCTTAACTACTCTGCTCTATTTCCTTGAAACATGTGTTCCATGTCATCACCAAATGTGAATATTTTATTAAATACTAACTAAAAAACCAGAAATCCACTGGGAAATAAAATACACATCTTGGTGTCATCATTTGCTTTTCAAAACTACATTTTGTGATGTGTAGTTACATAAAATGATGTGTCTACCTTGCCCTTTTTAAAGAGAACATTCTCCTCTCTGGAAGGAATACATAGAGTCAGGTGAGACCTGGGACCCAGTAAAAGATTTAGCTCTTCTTTTGTGGTTATAGGTTAAGAGGCAGATTTCTTCTCTACACATCTTCCTTTTTAAAGACTGTTCTCTTGGGTAGCCTAAACTGGTCTACAATCCCCTTAACAGACTGCTAACAGACATACATTTCTTAAAGCCACAAAGGATACTACTTGCCTTAAGCCACCTATCCCACCAATGCCATTTTTCAGACTGGGGAAGATTCTAACACTTCCTCATTCCCAGAGATGTCAGAGGGTGGCTTAACTGGGTGCTCATCAGTGTCATCAACTTGACAGCTACAGGGTGGAGAGTCCACCATCCTCGGATTCTACAGGATGTAATAATAAGGGGGGTGGACAGCCCAAATCTCACAGACCTGCTTGCCGTTTAAGGCTGCTCAAGTTTGTCATGGTGCCTTCTTCTCTCCATCTAGCCACAATAGCAGCAGATGGACTGAAGGATAAATGTGAGACTCTCAACTATCCCAGTGGAATCTCTTTCCCCCGTGATGTTTAAAAATATGAACCAGGTTTGTGCTGGTGCCACCCTGGCTGGAGCCAGAGACAGACCAGATGACCTCCAGATAACGCTCAAAGCCAGTAAGAGGTGCTCTACAATGACCCCCAAAAGATATACTCTATCTAAGGCACGGAGAGCCTGGGCACAAGGTGTTTGGCTTATGGATTTTTAAGACTTAAAATGATTAAGAGAGGAAATAACAAGAAGAGAGTGGCCTTTCCTGACCCAGTTTGACGTGTCACGTGGCAGCCTATGCAAGAGGACTCACGAGACCACTTGAGATCGGTCAGGGCAGGGCTAGACGCTCATCTGCCTGGCGCAGGCTCCGAATGAGGTCAGCAAGCAGCAATGGTGTCAGACTGAAAGGAATGAGTCTAGCTTCTGTTCACCATGGATCCTTGGGGGGCTACTGGCTCTTGCTATATGTTTATTAATTTTTAAAAAATGCACTGTGGCTGGCCTAGTTTTAGTTAATGCCTAATAAAGGGAAAAACTGTTTTCATAGCACTCCTGGGCCTGACACTGAGCAGCTGAAGTTAGCATGATCCTTCACTTTCAAAGATGACACAAGCCAGCAGCCTAGGAGGAAAACAATTCCTTTAGAAGCATGCCATTCCCAGGTGAAAGTGGCAGCAGTTGAACATTATGTTAAATAAGACATAATCAGGGTAAGAAGGGATCAAACCTGAGGGAAGATAAAAGCCCAAACTGCATACTTGGCTACTAGGGTTTGTTGCATAACGTGCACAGGATAAACGGGTAAGTCACTGGCCAATTCATGTGCACTTCTTACAGTCCTGATATATTTCTATATATAAACTCTCTTGCCTGTTTAACATTCTCCCCACAGTACATCAAACGGAGCCTGAGAGAATGCCAGAATCTTCGGTAAGCTTCCCAGGGTGACGTCTTCTCATCTGCACTGCTTCTGCCTCCCAAGTCTCACTCCCATTCCTTGCTTAGGTGAGAGTGCTAGATTCTTCCATCAAAGGTCTTGTCACCAGGGTCTGTTTTCCCTCCAGTCTTCACTCACCAGTAAGACACTCTGTGGTTACTTTAATAGGATCAGCTGTCCAACCTGCAAATGAGACTGCCCTATATGTAGCTATGATGACCTCGCTGCCATGCCAGGCAAATGTGTTGGGGACAGGTTCTAAGTATCAGGCAGATGGAGGCCATGACCAAATGCTGACATTTATATTTAGAGTGTGTTCTGTGTGCTAGGTACCATGTAAGAGCTCTGTGTTTTATCTCATCTCATCTTCTCAACTGGTTGAGATAGGGAATATTATCATCCCCATTTTATAGGTGAAGAAACTATTGACCTTGGTTCAGGTCAATTTATCCAGCAAGTAAGCAATGGAGCCAGGATTTGAATTTATAACCAGTGCACTGCACTGCTTCCTTACTTACAAGAGCCACTCTGGGTGGACAAGTTCAAATCTGCTTACTTAGGGAAGTACCTGGCAGCTTCTTATCCCTCTATGTGAAACTAAGACCATGTCTCAGAACTGTCAAGTTTCTTTGTCCTAACTTTTCCAAGTGTAGATTTCTATTAAATTTCCAGCAGTGAGGTAGTGTGTTCTAATAGAAAGTTCATGAGCTTTGGAGACAGATTGAGCTATACTAAATTCTGGTTTTCTTACTAAATAGCTAATTGACCTTGGACAAATTACTCTCTCTCTCTGAGTGCACTTTCTTAACCATAAAATAGGCCTAACACAACTTGTCTTTAGAAGTGCTGTGAGGCTTTAATGAAATTATATAAAGGCTAGTTCCCTTCCCTTCCCTCCTTAGCCAGGGACACTGAAGGGCAGGCAGGACACATGAGGAGGTTCTGCAGGAACCCTGGAGCTCAACAAAGCTAGAAACGTGTACTTCTTCCCTGTGCACAGCTCTGGTGATCACCAACCACCTGCTCATCAATTCTGGCCAGGCTTCTTCTAGTCAACACCTCTAGATGCTCCCAGCCCAGTCTGGGTGACTGGCTGTTCTTAATGAATTACAGCTCTGAGGGCAAAACCCCTCCGAGGAGACCACCCCTTATCAATGCAGAACTCTCCTGGCCCTAGTGCTAAATACTAATTCATTCTAACATATTCTTTCTTATGTATTATTATTTAGTTAACTACAATGATTGAAATGAGGGAAAAAGTTTGCTATAGCGCTGCATGAAAATAAAACCTATGATTGTAACACTAAAAAATCTATAAACATACAACTATGGGTTATATGACAATAGACAAAATAATTGTGAGGTCTGGGGAACTGTAAATTTTCCTTTTTCAATATTCTTTAATATTCAATTAACTTTCAACTTACAAAGTGCACATTTTAAAGAAAATCTGACGAGGAGGATGTTGACTCTTAAGCAGCATGCCCACGCCATTCCTGCTAGCTGCCCTCATTCTGCCTTCTGTGCCTTTGACAAATTCAGATCAGGGGGCTGGGATCAGCTTCCCTTGGCAGAAAGGACCATACCAGTTTGGAAGGGGGAATTTCACTTCCACAAAGCCCAGGGCCTCTGGGGGTGGAGATGGAGGGAGGGAGGGCAGCTGGCTGCCTCTTTTCTTTGAGCACACTTGGGGTTGAAGCATGATCGCTTCCCCTACACTGCCCTCTTGTGGCAGACCTGCCTCCGGAGACGGCAGCCAGACAAAGCAGTCAAGCCCAAGTGCCGGCAACACTGATGATCCACTTTGGAGAATCAGAACTGAACAAAAAAGTGTTAGAGTATGTGTGTCCTGGGAGAGACGTATGTCCATTCCTTGAGGCAGGACCAACAGTCTGTGGGGGGGGGGAAGGGGGAGCGATTTGAGTGTCTCAGAAGCAGCAGGAAATTAAGGCTAGTGTCCATCATAAACAGTTTCCATCCACAGACTGAGCCCCCCATGCCAGGTAGTGGTGCACAGCTCAACGTGGCTTTTCAAAGAGGTATTCAAGATCTGGGGCACGCAGTCTCTGCTCTTTGTTTTTGTTTTTAGCAAAGTCTCTCAGCAGTGCCATGACTTCATTTTCAAATATTTCTGGGGCTGGTTTTGCTCCTGTAAGAGAAAAGTGGACAGAAAGAATTATGCCATAGTCAGTCAACGTTCAGGCATACGTATCTTAAAATTTGAAACCTTGGCTTTGGCCAAGAACCACAGATGGATATATAGATCATCTCCACTGTTCCTCTAAAGATATGAGGGGACTTCAAAAAGTTCATGGAAAAACAATTAAAAGATAATACGAATGTTTCCATAAACTTTTTGAAGTAAACTCATACATGATGTTAGCTTATACCAGGGGTTGGCAAACTCTGTCAGTCTATATTTGTAAATAGTTTAAAGAAACAGCTGTTCCCATTTGTTTACATATTTTCCAGGGCTGCTTTTGTGTTACAATAGCAGAGTTGGGTAGTTGCGGCAGAGACTGTATGGCCACAAGACTAAAATACTTACTACATGGTCTTTTCATTTATTTATTTTATTTATTTATTTAATTTTTTAAAAAGATGACCGGTAAAGGGATCTTAACCCTTGGCTTGGTGTTGTCAGCACCACGCTCAGCCAGTGAGCTAACCAGCCATCCCTATATAGGATCTGAACCCGTGGCCCTGGTGTTGTCAGCACCACACTCTCCCGAGTGAGCCACAGGCCGGCCCTATGGTCTTTTTTTTTTTTTTTTTTAAAAAATAAAGATGACTGGTAAGGGGATCTTAACCCTTGACTTGGTATTGTCAGCACCACGCTCTTCCAAGTGAGCGAACCGGCCATCCCTATATAGGGATCCAAACCTGTGGCCTTGGTGTTATCAGCAACACATTCTCCCAAGTGAGCCACGGGCCAGCCCTACTATATGGTCCTTTATGAACAAGTTTGCTGACCCCTGGCCTGCACAATTTTGGCTGTACTATTTTGCTTTGCATTGGACACTACAGCTGTTTTCCAGGTATTATGTTTCCTTGCCCTTCTAATCTATAAATTTCCTGGAACAGAAGCTCTATTTTCTCTATCACTTAGAGTTCTTTGTAAGTGACAGAAACTAATAACTAGTAAACTTAAGAATAAGGAATTTATTGGAAGGATATTAGAGGCATACAGAACTCACATGAACCTGGAGAACCAGATTTAAGTGGACAGGCAACAAAGGCACTGAGTGCAAAGCAATGAGAATGCCTGCCTCAGTTTGGTGGCAGGGAGTCTGGCAGTATGCGGCTCACCTCCAACCTTTCTTTCTACCCTTGAGACACTTGCTTAAGATGCCAATTATAAGCAAAGCCTCTCACTGGCAAAATTTAGGCAATGTCCTCGAAACCAAGTCAGATTCCCCCTCACTTAGCTCAGGGCCTGGCATCCAGTGAGAGGTTTTTTTTGTGTGATGACCAAAATGAGATAAAAGAGGGCCAGCCAGTTAGCTCAGTTGGTTAGTGTGTGGTGTTGTTAACACTAAAGTCAAGGGTTCAGATGCTCATACTGGCCAGCCACCAAAAAAAAAAAAAAAAAAGAAAAGAAATTATGGGATACACAGACAATGAAAAAAACCCACACTGTCAAGGGGCAAAGCAATCAACAGAAACAGACTCAGGGATGACCCAGATGTTAGAATGATCAGATGGGGAATTTAAAATAACTATAACAAATATGAAAGGTTCTAGTGGAAAAAGCTGACAAAAATGTATGAACAGATGATAAATTCAAATAGGGAGGCAAAAACTGTAAAAGTCTAATGGAAATGCTAGAAAGAAAATATAGTAGCAGATATGCAGAATGATTTCAACAGGCTCATGATGAGATTTGACATAATCAAGGAAAGAATTGGTAGAAGATAGATCAATAAATGCTACCCACTACAAATTACCCAAACTGATATGCAAAGAGAAAAAAGAGTGGAAAAAAAACAGAGAATTTAAAAGCTGTGGGAAAATATTAAATAGTCTAACATAAGTGTAACTGGAATCCCAAAAGAGCAAGAGAACAAACAGAAGGAATATCTGAAGAGATAATGGCTGAGAATTTTCCAACAATAATGAAAGATATAAAAACACAGATCCAACATGCCCAGAGAACCCCAATCAGGATGAATACCAAAACAAACAACTAGACACATCATATTCAAACTGCTAGAAACCAAAGATAAAATACTGAAAACATTCAGAATGAAGATACATTCTGGATTGATACATTACATACAAAGGAACAAATATATAACAGACTTCTTGTCAGAAACTATGCAAACCAGAAAACAGCACATGGTAATAGAGAGAAATTTGAAGCTGGTACTGCACTGAAGATAACCAAACCAAATCAGCTCAACTTCTGCCTAGATTGACTCAATCCCACACACTAACAGCCTAGCAATAGAAGTATGCCCAAGTAAAGTGCTGAAAGAAAAAAAAACAAAAACTGTGAACCTAGAATTCTATATCCAGTGAAAATATCATTCCAAAATGAAAAGCCAAAGCTGAGAGGAATCATAATAGCAGACATGCACTAAACTTCTTACATTACACAGGAAGCTGTATATTTCTTGAAGGTAGACTGCGATTAATTAAAGATGTGTACTGTAAACCCTAGGATAATCCTTAAAAAATTATAAAGAGAGATATAAATAATAAGCCAAAAGTAGACATAAAATGAAATAATAAAAATTGCTCAATAAAAAGACACAGAATTAGAGGGGGGAAGGAACAAAGAATATATGAAAGAAATAGGAAACAACTTAAAAGATGGCAGATTTAAATTCAAACACATTGATAATTCAGTAAATGTAAATGGTCTAAACATAACAATGACAAGATAATTAGATCAGGTAAAAAAAGGAAGACTATATATGCTGTCTGTAGGAAAATCAATTTAAATATAAAGACAAAGGTAAGTTAAAAATAAAAGAACGGTGAGTTAGACAGACTTCTAGAATGGCCCCTACCATTCCCCACTCCCCTGGCATATATGCCCTGCATAATCCCCAGGACTGTGAATATGATGATTTTTTTTTTTTATTCCACCATTAGGGTATATGGCACAGCTGACCTTAGTTGGGGGATTATCCAGGTGGATCTGACCTAATTACATGAGCTCCTTAAAAGCAGAGCTTTCTCCAACTGGTGGCAGAAGGAGAAGTCAGAGAGATGTAATGTATGAGAGGGATTCCATGTGAGGGAGGATCTTCATTGCTGAGATGGAGGGGGCCATGTGGCAAGGACATCTAGGAGCTGAAAGAGACTGACAGCTAGCAAGACATTGGGGATCTCAGTCCTACAACTGTAAGGAAATTAATTTTCCTAACAACCAAAATAAGCTTGAAAGTGGATTGCTTCCTAGAGTCTCCAGTCAGGAATACAGAACACCAGCTTTCTTTTGATTAGTGTTTGCATGGTATGTATTTTTTCTGTATTAGTTTCCCATTGCTACATAACAAATTATCACAAACTTAACTTTTAAACCAAGGCCCGTTTATTAGCTCATAGTTTTATGTTCAGAACCGTGCCCAGATCTCATAATCTGAAATCAGCTGTTCTTTATTCCTGTCTGGAATACAATTGGTTAGAGCATGGTGCTGATAACATCAAGGTCAAGGGTTCAGATTCCTGTGCAAGCCAGCTTCCAAAACAAAAAACAAACAAACAAAGCTGGAGTGTTTAGAACAGACACTATAATGATAAAGGAATCAATACATTGAGAAGATATAATTCTAAATGTGTCTTCAAATAAAAACAGAGCTTTAAAAATATATGATGCAAAAACAGAGAAGTGAAAGGAATAACAGATGAATCCACAATTATAGTTGGGAGATTTCAACACTCCCCTCTTAGTAACTGATAGAATAGGTATTCAGCAAGTCAGTCAGAATACAGAAAACATGAAGAACAGTATCAACCAACTTGACCTAGCTGACACTTAAGAACACTTTATCCACGAGTGCAGAACACACATTATGTTCAAGTGCACATGGAATATTTATCAAGATACCCACATTTCAGTCCATAAAACAAACTTCCACAAATTCTGGAAAATCCCCAAATATTTGAAACTTAAACAACATACTTCTAAAAAACTCATGGGTCAAAAAAGAAGTCATGAGGAAAATCTTTTTTAGCCATCCCCCCTTGAAAAAAGAAAAACCTACATATAGTAAAATATGCTAATCTTTTTTTTTTTTTTTTTGTCTTTTTTGTCTTTTTCCGTATCCGGCAACGGATCGCAACCCTCAGTGTTGCCCCCGCACCGGACCGGGGACCGGCAACGGGATCGCAACCCTCGGCACCGCTCCCGCGCCTCGCTCAGCCAGTGAGCGGGAACCGGTCTGCATGTGGGATCCAAACCCTCGGGCGGGAGCGCCGCCGCACTTCCCAAGCGGCGCACTTATCCAGTGCGCCACCGGGCCGGCCCCATACATCAAATTTTGAAACATGAAGCTAAAGCAGTGTTCAGAGGGAAATTTGTAGCATTAAATACTTGTAGTGGAATAGAAGGTCTCAAGTCAATGAGCTCAGCTACTACTTTAAGAAACTACAAAAAGAGCAAATTAAGCCTAAGACAAGCAGAAGAAAGGAAATAATGAAGATAAGGCAGAAATCAGTGAAACTGAACACAGAAAAACGATAGAAAAAAATCGATGAGGCCGGCCCGTGGCTCACTCAGTAGAGTGCGGTGCTGATAACACCAAGGCCACGGGTTCGGATCCTATATAGGGATGGCCGGTTTGCTCACTGGCTGAGTGTGGTGCTGACAACACCAAGCCAAGGGTTGAGATCCCCTTACCAGTCATCTTTAAAAAAAGTAAAAAGAAAAAAAATTGATGAAATAAAAATCTGGTTCTTTGAAAAGATAAATAACATTGATAAACTTCTAGCCAGACTGACCAAGAAAAAACCCTGGAGCTGGCTTCCCTATAGCTACCTCACTTATGCATATGTCTATCTCCTCTGTTAGTAAAGCCTTACTTGCTTTAAAAAGAAAAAAAGGAAAACAAAAAACCCCACAAATTACCAATATGAGAAATAAAAGAGGGACATCACTATAATTCTTCAAACATTAAAACAAAAAAGGAACATCATAAA